AGTCTCTCTCTTATATATATATATATATATATATATATAGAAAAAATATTGAGATTAGACTACTAGCTTACATGAACATATGAGTCCAACGGTTCAGATTGAATCTGGGTTGATTTGACAGTCATGATTTTATTTTGTATTTTAATTTTAATTTTCTTTTTTACGAATCTAAATAACTTGAAATTTTAAGTTTTTATTTTTTTCATCAAGGTGCTTCTAATAAAAAATATTTAAAAAATAATTCGTAAAAAATAAATTAATTAAAATACTTTTGAAATTTTCAGGGGTATTTTTTATCAATTTATTTCTTGTCAATTATTTTTTTTATATTTATATTAGATTATCTTAATTTTTAAGAATACAAATCTAAAATTTCAAATTATTTAGATGTAAAAAAAAAATATATTAAAATTCAAATATGAAATGAAGTCGTGACAGTTAGATCGGTCCAAATTGATTTGGACCGTTTGGTTCATATGTTCATATGAACTAGTGGGTTAATTTCATATTTTATATATATAGAGTAATTTTTTTTAAATTGAGGTGGGTTAATTTCATATTTTATATATATAGAGTAATTTTTTTTAAATTGAGGTTTGGAGAAAGAGTGCTAAGAGAGAGTGATGCTTTTGGGGGGCCATGCTATGACCACTAAGTACTCTACATTTTGCCCACATCCAACAATATGTGGAAATATTACTATTTTGGTGCAAGATAACGAATTTGTGAATTATAGGTTCTTTTGAGAAACCATGGGGAAAGGAGAAATATCACTAGAAGCTTTTGATCTTGTACCCAACATTACCAAAGCTAGGATGAGAGTAGTAGTAAAATAGGAGCATGAACAAGGGTGGGTCTCCAAAGTCCGAGTAGAGCCCGAGTCGGGCTTGTACTCGCTAGCCATACAATTCCAGTTTGCCGAGTCAAACTTGGGCATTTATCTTATTTACCTAGTTCCACTCTGGCAGTTTTCGAGTTGGATCGGTTAAAAAGGCTAATAAGTTAGAGAAGCGGGATGATTCCTACGTTCCTTAAACAAGAATTGCTTGGCTACCGATCCAGAGGTGACTTGAGCCATTGTTAGTGTCTTGTTGATTTTTAACGGAAAAGCACACAAAAAGATCATTTATTTTTTGCACAAGAAAATCATAATTATCCATCTTTTGGATTTTAAATTGGGCTGTTGTAAGGCTGTTATTGTAAAGACTCAAAGTTATAAAAAAAAAAAACAAACTTTGTGATTAACCCAAATTATTTAATTTGACATCTAATTATTAGAGATGATTGTGGCCTCCTTATATTAAAGATAAATGGTCTCATTGTACACGATCCCATTTTTAAATCATTGGAATGAATATATTTCTTCATATAAAATTTAACTGAACAAAAGTCAAGAGTTATGGTCTCAGAAGATGCATGCTTGTTTCTTCATAAAAAGCCTAAAGAAGAAGAAACAATGACATCCAACCTATAGCTCAATTCGAAGGGACTTCTTGTTGTGACCATGAGACTGTCTAAAAGAAGCATTCGATTGCATTATCTAACTCATAAACTTTGTGATCGACATACAGCCTCCAATTCTATCAGGAAGAACTATCAATCCGATTCCTGCAAGCCCCCGAGAACCACCGATCCCAAAAAAGCCCCGGCTGCTGCCACACCTAGTGCCCCTGCTAGTACTGCCTGAGCAGCAACTAGTGCTATAGAGTCATCAGGAATCACTACCACTGCTGCCACTGCAGCCACCGATAGCGGCAATGCAGATGCTGCAAGTGCCGAAGGAGAAAATCCTGCAGCCTGTTCCACCAGGCTAAGTAACCCCAGTTCCTCTGCTTTGGATAGAAACCCTAACTTTTCAATTGAGGAGAGTGTAAACCCCAATTCCTCGGCCTTTGATAGGAATCCTAATTTCTCCACATTGCTCAGAACCTTCTTCTTCTCGAGCTTCTTCACCACATCAACTTGCAGTTCTTCACTGCCCTCCGCAAATAGGCCCGCCCCATACCACTGCTTCTGCCAGTTCTCATCGTATTTGTTCACCTGAAAGGTTCAGGTTTGAAATCTCTTCAAATCTAGAATCGATGCCTGAATTTTTGGAAGTTCTACTTCTCAATCAGGATTTCTTTATATCATTATCATCAAACCTTTTTCCAACCAATTGGGGTCGGCTTCAATCATGATTTATCAAGTTTAAAATTTTGACAACATGAAAGTCCTACTGCATGAGATGTCAATAATTTTATAAAATTACTTCGCAAAAAAATAAAAATAACTTTTGAAATGTCCCAAACCCAATTTAGGTAGAAGAGATGGCATGCGGTAAACGCATATTTTCATAAAGTATGCATTATGATACACAATACACAAGAAGGCCATCCGCCATCCACTTTTCAAGAAGGTTTGTGGAGTCAACCATGATGAACATTCAATTATGTATGGAAAATATTTTGATAGGGCTGCAGCCCTGTCAAAAATAAGTTAAGCCTTACCTCATAACTCATAAAAATTTCCAACTCATATGTTGGAAGGCTTTTATATTAACCATCTCAGCTTGAACTTATGGTCGTAAAAAAAAAAAAAGGATTTTAAGGTTTAAAAATAGTATATATTATAACAAATTATCTAGACCATTCATTTAGCTCTAAAACTAAGTGTTCATAGATCCGCAAGATCTGTAAAAAAAATTTAAGTTTCAAATTTCATTACAGGTATTGGAAATTGATTTTAGAGCCATCATTGAGATTTTTTGTGGCCAAAAGTGCTCTCGAGATGTGGATTTTAGGTGAGATTTTATTTTGTTTTCATAAAGCCTAGGCCGTTAAAAACTTCATCCTTTGCCAAGGAAGTAATATACAGAGTAGCAGTTCTACAAATGTACTGTGTAGCATACACAATGTGTATTAAAGATTGTGTGTTTGGTGCAGGATACACAATATTGTACTCAATTGAGACAATTTTGTTGTGCATGGTTTGCCATTATTATATGCAACAGTTCTTAATATACGGAAGTAACATTCAAAAACCATGTTAGGGCCATTAGTTTGATTTAATTTTTAAATGGGTGCACTTGGCATAAGGATGCATCCGGTAGAGATAAAGTCCACCTTCAAATTTTATCATGGTATATAATTTTAATGTAAAACGTCCTTACGATTCTCTCAAAATCTATTTTTATATCTAATTATAAAATATTAAATTTTAAAAATGGTTAAAATCAAATAGATATATAACCATATGAAAATCTTGAAAATGGACGGTGTACATAATATGTTGTAAAATGAGTTATTTTTTGAGTCTTAATTTTTTTTTATTTTTCGTGGTCATATATCTCAATGTCGAGATGATCAATCAAAGGGTTTTTCAACATTAAAACTACCTCTTTCGATGGATTTTTGAGGTGCATCCGTAGTTCTACATTATAAGGTTGCATCCTCATATAAACTTTTTCCTTTTTAAATATATTCCATTCATACCAATAAACAATCACAACAAAAAAAAAAAACTTTGAAACACACCCTTAAAAATGTGTTTCATTATATACATGCATACTATTGTAAAACAAACATATCTATATTTTCCCATCACAAAAACCTCAGACACAGATTCTACCCAATTTTCAAAATTCCCCATGAATATAAAACGGTTTTTTTTTTTTTCCAAATTTTCGTCATTAATTTTTCTCTCAACTGGAAATACCATAATTTTATCTTTGAGAAATTAGGAGAAAATTGCACTAGCAATACCCAAAGTGGGGAGCAAAAGACTAAAACACAAAAATGATTTCTTTTTCCTCCATTTGTGGATTTCTTAAATTTAAAAAGACATAAATGGAGAAAACAAAATCAAAACTCGAAATTCAGCCCAAATTTCTACGAAATTCAGTGGAGATTCTGCCCCAAAATTTGACAAAAAATTCATAATTTCTTTTTTAAGCAAACCCATTAAAAAAGAGAGAAAGGTCTGGGATTTCTTACCTTCTTATTAGGGGCCATAGCTAAAACTCTTAGGGTTTTTCTGTAGCGAACTGGTGTGGAAGAAATGCATGATTTCCTTTGAAGAAATTCACAAGGATTTGAAGAAAGAAGGGCATGGAACTGTGATGGAGATGAAGCTGTCCTCGCCATGGATATTACGTGTGAGATTCTAGGGCTTTTCGGGTATTTTGGAGCTGGATTATACGGAGAACAAGGACTGGTTATCTCTCTGCAAGCTTTTGGGATCGATCAATGAATGAATGGTCTGGTTTTTTTCTCGAGATAATTGACGAAAACGCCATTTATCTTCAATCTAAGAAACAAGTCTGAAAAGACACGCATACCCTTTCATAAATCAAAACATTTCAAAGTTTTTTATAAGGTTGCAGTTCTTACTATTGAAATAAGGTGTACCTCAAAACATCTAAAAGAGTGTTATGACTTTGGAGAACCCTCCAATTGATCATCTCAACTTTAAGATGTGTTTGCGTCAAGAAAAACGAATTTTAAGTCTTAAAAATAATGCATTATATAGCAAGTTATCTAAATTATTTATTTTCAAGATTTTAAAGTGTTATAGATCTGCTTGATTTGTAAGATTTTTTAAATTTTAAATTACATAATTGATAATAAAAATAGGTTTTCAAGCTATCATAAGATACAATAATTACTTCCCCAAGCAAATTTTAGAAATGCGTGTTCTTCTATAGTATAAGGAGGTCACCTTTATGCAAACCTAACCCTATTTCATATATCTTTTTCTCTTATTTGGTACCATTGAACCAGTATTTTAAAACTCGAATAAGTGGGGTGGATCTTCTATCCCGCAGATCTATGTCAAATCGTTAGATCGTCGATCCAGATAGGTCCAGATCAATTCAATTTGACAATTCAAAAAATATACAAACTATAAAATAAAAAATAATCATAGAGGTTTATGAGGTGGGGATTTGGGGACCTAATAAACTATTAGAAAAACTATATTTTTTTTAAACGAAGGAAATAGAAAAAGGGGAGGGTGTTTGGTTGGGGGGAGGACCAATACCTTTCTAGAACCGCTTCAGTCTCGGCCGATTCCCACTCTAAATCGATGATTCCCAATGTAGATTACGACTTTTTAAAACATGCCACTAAACCCATGCATGGTAGCAGATGGATTGTGGACATAAAATTCTAGTAATCAATAATCTCGATCACCAATATGAAAAAGATTTGAATTTTCGAACTTTAAATTTATTTTAGGGTGCGGTTTCTATAGAGCCGAGACTCTAAACAATCAATTTAGAGCCCACCTTCAAATAGTGTTGAGAATTGTGGTTTCAATATTACAAATCTTGGACTAGCGTTAAAATATACTTTCATCTTTATTTTATAAAATTTAAAGCTTCAAAAATAGTATAGATCAAGCAGATCTATGAAAACTTGAATAACTTAAAAATTGATGGTCCAAAAATGCGTTACAAGATGCATTATTTCCGAAACTTGAAATCCATTTTTTTCTCGAATTCATGCATCTTGATGTCGAGATGATCAATTTGAAGATATTTGGACATCAAAACAACCTCTTCTAGTGAAATTTCGTTGTATGCTCTAATTTGATTGATTAGAGCTTAAGCTCTATATAAACTTTTTCCTTTATTTGAAGATTATTAAGAGCCATACGTTTCAATTCTATGCACATCATTAGATCTCTCCTTTTTTTGAGCTACAAAAATTATGGAATTATGGATCTAGATTGGAAATGCATCTAAAGTGACTTAGGACGTATTTCAGATCCGAAACATATTACTGAGATTGATTTTGGGAGTTGGATGATTAGGAGAATGAGGTCTGGTTTTTTTTTGGGATTGATAAATGGTTTTCCTCTTGAGAAAAATGACAAAAATGCTCTTTAACTTCGATATAAGGGACAAAACGTGCATGCCCCTACATCATAAAAGACACGCTTGCCCTTCTACATATTGAAATATTTTAAAATGCCATTTTCTCTTGGAAAAGTCATTTGTGAGTAAGCTCACCCATGTCTATCTTAAAATGGACGTTATAAAAAAACCCAGAAATATCTCTCAAAGAATCACATTTAAAATATTGATTTTTTTTCACATTTATGATCATATCATCCTAGATCATGAATCCTTAAAATTTTGGATTAAATATCCCTTTTTAAGATGGATTTTAGAGGGTACCCGCATGTGTAGAATATGAGTCGGCTGACTCATAGAAACCCCATCCTTTTCTCCTCGGGTCTATTAAACCCATGCATGTTGGTATTGAAAGCATGTCAATGTAGCATTGGAAATTTATCAGAATAGAGCTAAAATTGAATTATTTAACATTTTACCTAAGGTGTGTAACTTAATAAATTTCAAAATATTTTTTGATTTGTCATGGGCTATCTTAAATTATATCAAAAAATATGGTTAAGAAGTTTAATAGTTCAAAATTTAGGTGTAGTTTGATAAATTTTCCATGCATCGCACTATTGAACACGTATGGTGTACTTCCAGAAGAATAAATTGTACATTTACTTCCGCATACAAAACAATCTTACTAGGAAGTTTTCTTTCTCCTTTTTTTTTTCTTATATGATTTATTCCCATTGGAGCAACTTGTACACATGCTTGGCAAAACTCTTATCTATATATATAGAAAGACACTATGCAACGTTTATAGGCGAAAATAAACAGTGATTTTGTCTACCTTCATCACCATCCAAAGTTCATCGTGTAGTTCCGATTATCTTGTAGTGTTTTATTTTTTATTTATTTTTTACAAATCGAAATGACTTGAAATTTAGAGCGTGTATTCATCAAAAATAGAAGAATCTTCGAAAATTATAAAAACAATATTTTACATTAAAATAATTGACCAAAATACCCCCAAAAAGTTTCGGGGGTATTTTGGTGAATTTATTTTCACGGATAATTTTTTTTATAATACACTACCGGATAATCGTGACCGCGCGACGAAATTTGGATGGTGTTGAAAGTAGGCGAAATCACTATTCATTTTCGCCTATAAGCGTTAGAAAA